TTCTTTATTAACGACGAACGAGATCGGTTAGTTACAGGGAGAAATGAAGAACGTACAGACGATGAGCTACGAACAACCAACGAACGTATACGCAAAGAACTATGACTAACGAACGAAAGTTTACGAAAAGAACTACGAACTACCAACGTCCGTATACGCAAAGAACTACGAACGAAAGTATACTCTGTGAATAATTATTTGATCCTTTGGATATTAACCACTGTGTCTTCTTGTTACAAATAGTGTCTTATTTATAGGACAAGCCTTGTGACCTAAGGTCTCTTCAGTTCCCTCAGCAAATTACCATTTTACCCTCCAAGCTTGGTGGGCTGAATTGGAGGGACAACAGGCCCGATAAATAGTTGGGTCTCTGTTTGGGCCAAATGGCATTTTGTGGGTGAAGCCCATATCCAACATGCATCTAGAATAATGAAAATAATTTTGATTCGCTAACTGCATGCATGTTTGTCAATATTTGTCCACTTTTTTTTTGTCTAATTATTCTTTTGTTTCTCTGTCTCATTATTTTCAAGTTTTAATCTAACTCATCCACTTTGGAGAATCTATGAATGCCATTAGAGTTCTTACTTCACATTTTCCCTCTGCAATTTATTTGTGTATTCTAAGAGTTGTCAATTCTTTATATAAGCGGGCGTTTTCGGTTTAGCTCGAGTAAAAAAACTTCAAAATATCTTTAAATCAGCCACTCAATTCTTGGTGTATTATGGGTGGAGCAAAAAAAATATATCAAATGAAAAGTTAAATCATGGCTAAACCAAGCATGGGACATCGAAGCCAATATAGTATATGCCTACATGGTAATGCGTTTTAATTTACTTATAATGATCAGAATCAAATGCGATTATCTACAACTACAAGTGCACTCACTCACACAAGAGGCGGCTACTATAAGCATAATTTATAAAGATTCGTTGGTGATGTATAAGAAAAAGGGAAATAATAGGGGTTGGTGCTTTGTCTTTTTGTAATGAAACCTAACTAATGAAAATGTAACGAAGGAAAAGACACTTTGCATTATGATCAAATGTACCTTTAAAGATTCGAAGTCTCTAGTTGAGCTGTGGGGATAGAAATTGTAGCCTTTAATGTTACCACTTTTGGTCCCACCCTTAACGAAAGAAAAGGCGGAGACGTGTTTTTGTTTTCATGTCAACAAATCAACGTCCGACGTCGCAGACACAACACATGAATATTGTAAATTACTGCTCACATTATTAAACACGTTAAAATATGCGTCTCAAGCAGCTTTATGAAATTGTTAGGCAGTGTGTTCGGAATTATATTCTTCTTTTTTTTGTTTTCGTCAATTATATTCTTTTTTTTTTTTTAATTTTAAATTTCACTTATATTAAATAAAATGGGCCTCCCAAGAAATTGGGCCTAGGAAATGGGCTTACAAAACAGAAACAGGTACAAAAAAGAAAACCTAAAAGCAAAACATCACCATCGGGGAAGCTCTTAATCTGCTGACGACCTGAGGCAGTGGCGTGAACAGAAACTCCGGCGAAAGCAAGACCCATTACTTTGCGGCATAGACTCCGGCCAGAAACCAAGATCAAAAGCTTTCGGATTCCAACCTCGGTTCCCCTCCATCATCTCGCCAGACCCGCAACGGATCTTCCGATCTGTTCAACACCACCAACAACAGGCTCTACCGGAGATGGTCCCATGCCTAGCAACCATACACACTGGATTATCACCCCTCCTCGACAGATCAGATTACCAATAGATCTCCGAGCAAAGTGAATAGTCGTACCGGTCCGGTGGAAGCTAGACTCGTGGTGGTCTGTGGAGTCAAGATGCTCACGGTTTCCTCCACAAACCAGAATCCACAAGCGCCATCTAAGAACCCGAGAGTTCTACAGTTAACCACCGTGACTAGCAGCGATACCCACCATTCCCCTACCGACTTCCGCAGCAGCCACAACCTCTATCTTGTTGGTTGAGCCACGAGAAGAAACCTCTGTTAACCCACTGACTGGCGTCCTCAAACCACGTGTGGTCGACATCGTAACTCCTCGCACCACCAAAATAGAGCCATGACTGCATCGGATGGGGGAAGAACCACTCCTCCGCTACCGGGGACAGAAACACTTGCTCACCCCTGCCTTGCTTTAGCAACCTCAGAACCTGCAAATAAAGCTCAATCCCACCATACCTGACGCACAAACCAGACTCCGACAAGCAAGGCGCAAGACACCGTCTGGAGGGAGAAGATCTGCAAATCCAGCGAGAGTCTCACCAGAAGCCGACCACTGGAACTAAACCGAAGCGAAGCCCAGAACCCACAACTCACCAAAGCCAACCAACCCACCGGAGATCCACCAACACGCGAAGAAACCGCCAACCCAGATCCGCCAGATTTGGCCACGGCATCGACGCCGTGCACAAACACCGACACCAAGCCGCCACCAGAGACCACCACCAGGCAGTTCGACGCGCCACGCGCCGAAAAAACTCACCGGAAACCACCACAAGAGAGAAACCAGAACGACACCACAACAGAGCCTCACCACGGGAGAAGAGAACGGCGACAGGAAAAGCTAACAGAGGCTAAGGAGAAAAGCTCTCTCCGGCGCCGGAAGGGCATGCTGGAGAGGCAAAACGGAAAAACGATCTGAACTTAGAGAGAAGGGAGAGAGAGCTAGAGAGAGAGAGAGCCTCTTTTAAGTATATTCTTCTTCAGTATACATATATTATTATTTGTTTGGTTCTAATGTTGCATTAACTTGTCACTTGACTTGTCATATAGACGAGTTGGCCATTATATTCTTCTTCAGTATACATATATTATTATTTGTTTGGTTCTAATGTTGCATTAACTTGTCATATAGACGAGTTGGCCATCGATGAACTGTATCGGTGGCTAGGAGCCTAGAGCTAGGAGCGTAGTGGTTGGTGATATGTATATATACATTAATTAAGTAATAATCACTACTAAAAACTCAAAAACCTTTTTCTTTCTTTCTCTTTTCTTTTAATATCATTGTTAAGTATTTATATTATTTTCGAAATTTTTGACAAATATCATACAAAGATATATATAAAATGATATGAAGAAAACATATTGGGTTGCTGGCGAAAAAAAAGAAGAAAACATATTGGGTTTGATTGGTAATAGTTTTACAAAGCTGTACAAAACATACAGTTTTGACAGTTACCAATCACAAAAACTTTATCAAAAGCGTTACAAACAATTTTACTCTCAGTTTTTTTTACAGCTTTCTTGTACAGCTTTGCAATATTCCGATAAAACTTACAGCTAAAATTTTTTTATAGCTTTTGGTTACCAATCAGACCCATTACCTAGATTAGCCAGAAAAGTATACGTATCCCAAAAGTACATAACATTTTAAATCGTTTTTAAAGTATTAACCTCCAATAATTTATAATTAGCGTCAATATCCAATGTTGAACATTTTTTTTACATATTCCCAGTCGTCTTCACTTTTTGGTCTTGTAAGTTTCTTCCACAAGGTCCAATTTTGATTGTTCAGTAATACATATCAGGCTTTCTACGAAACTATATTAAATTGTAAATGCTGTGGAAATTTGATATAAAAAGTTTAAACTATTAGGACATAATGTCCCACATCGGAAGTTGGAAGGGATCCTAAGTAATATATAAGGGATATAGGCCACTCCACTCATTGCCAATTGGTTTTGAGTTGGAAGCACATATTCTAATATGGTAGCAGAGCCCGATCCACACATGTCCAACCCGATCCGACCCAAAGATGGTCCAATCATCGACAAGGCCCAAAATTGATGCCGTCGATCTATATTAGGACATAATGTCCCACATCGGAAGTTGGAAGGGATCCTAAGTAATATATAAGGGATATGGGCCACTCCACTCATTGCCAATTGGTTTTGAGTTGGAAGCCCATATTCTAATATGGTATCAGAGCCCGATCCACACATGTCCAACCCGATCCGACCCAAAGATGGTCCAATCATCGACAAGGCCCAAAATTGATGCCGTCGATCTAAGCCCGAACATTCCGAGATTAATGGCCAAAGAGCCATCATCTCGAAGGGGCGTATTAGGACATAATGTCCCACATCGAAAGTTGGAAGGGATCCTAAGTAATATATAAGGGATATGGACCACTCCACTCATTGTCAATTGGTTTTGAGTTGCAAGCCCATATTCTAATATAAACACCGACATCGGGTATGTAAAAATTGCCATCGATATAACGAGGATATATTCTAGAAAGTTTGTTTCCACGTGGGAACATAAACCGTAAATGACGATTGCCGACCTGCCAATTTTTCTTCGAACACATAAACCACCTACTGTAATATGATTGGACCATAGACTCTTTTTTAAAAACCAAATTACTCCTCTACCAAACGTTCCAAACCCAACGGTAAAATGACCCTTGCGTAACTCATAATTATTTTCTTACGGAATTCTCTTTGATTTAAGACAAATACAATCGAAGAATAAGCTAGAATATATGCACATGGGCCATGTTCTTGTTTCGACTAAAATATTAGTACTACACAATTAACACCAACAATGATGCATTGTCTTTTAACCGAATCAATCATGAGGGAAACTTCCATCATCGCATCAAATAAAATTTAAAATTTGATGCGCCAGATAAAAACCCTCACTAAATGTTAAAAGCCATTTGGCATTTCCCAAAACTAATGCAAACAAAAAAAAAGTAAAAAAAACGGATGCCACATATAACCATTTCTTTTCTTGTTCTTCCAACATACACTTAGACAGTTAGACTACTTTTTTTTTTTTTTTTGGTATGGAGACAGTTAGACTACTTACACAAAGTAACATATATTTACAGAAAACAGTAAGATAATTACTTTTTAAAAAGCTTATAGACAAGAGCTTAAATGTAACAATAAATTTACGAATAGGTAATGGTCTCAACTCTCAAGTCTATAGTCTATACACAACGGATATAAAACGCGGATACATTGGCTTTTACACACAAGTATAATATAAATATACACAACAATCTCTCTCATACCATTTTTTCTTCCCATCATCACTAATCACGACCTCCCCAAAAAAAAGAAAGATATCATTTAGAGAGAGAGAAAGGTACACTAGTGGCAAACTCGTAAATAAAGAATGTCAAAAGATTGCGGTAACCACGGTGGTGGCAAAGAAGCAGCCGTCCGGCGACTCTGCGGCGCCATAATCGCCTTCATCATAATAGTTCTAATCACCATCTTCCTAGTTTGGGTCATACTCAGGCCCACTAAGCCAAGATTCGTCCTCCAAGACGCCACCGTCTTCGCCTTCAACCTCTCGCAACCAAACCTCCTCACTTCAAACTTCCAAATCACAATCGCATCTCGTAACCCTAACTCCAAGATCGGAATCTACTACGACCGTCTTCACGTCTACGCTACGTACCGGAACCAACAGATCACTCTACGTACGGCGATTCCTCCGACTTATCAAGGCCACAAAGAAGACAACGTTTGGTCACCTTTCGTATACGGAACCGCCGTTCCGATCGCACCGTATAACTCCGTCGCTTTGGGAGATGAGCAAGGTCGTGGATTCGTAGGGTTGATGATACGCGCCGATGGGCGCGTGAGATGGAAAGTAGGGACGTTGATCACCGGAAAATATCATATCCATGTTCGGTGTCCGGCTTACATCAATCTTGGAAACAAAGCTGCTGGTGTTCTTGTCGGTGATAACGCCGTTAAGTATACGTTGGTTACTAAATGCAGTGTGAACGTTTAGAAAGTTTGACGGCGTTAAGTTGCTTTTTTTTTTACCATCTATATAATCAATCATTTTCTTGAACTTACCAAACTTCTTACCTTTAAGATTTCACTACTTTTGGTTGTTATTATAAAAGCTTATTGTTGATTATAGAATTATTACAATCACGACGGTCTGTGGTTGGATTTAATTGTAAATCCAATAAAGTTGAAATAAAATGGCGGATTGGGTATGGTTCTTTTGCATTTTCGGTTTTTTTCCCTTCCTTTATGATTTTACTATTTCTTAAGTTCTTATTCATCAAAGCATTTGTAAATTGCATACCTAAGAGCAACATTATTGGGAGGTACTTAGTTTTGATTCTTAGTAATTTTTTTGGTTCTTAGCCCAATTTTTGAATCTTAGCTAAGAATCATTCCTTAGCAAAATCATCAATTAAACCTTTAATTTTAATTTCTTTTGAGCTAAGAATCAAGTTAAGCACTTCCCAATAAAGATGGTCTAACAAGACAATAACTTAGACCATAAGTATCGGTATAACTTTGGACATGTTCTTAGATTTTAAAATGAAGAAAATTTGGGTTTTGAAGGCTAAGATCGGGCGAAGTGGTCTTGGGCTGGATCAGTTCTTGGCCCGCTCTCGTTGTGACGTGGCATGCGCGGATTGGGTAAGAATTTTGATATCGAAAATATTTTTTTCATTTGGGGCAAAATCGTTTCAAGTCTAGGGTTTTGTTTCTCTCCAGCCTCTCTCGCGGCGATTGTTGCCGTCGTCGATAGTTGGCCGATTTCGCACCGATATCCGGTAAAATCGGAGCCTAATCGATCTTTGCTTCGTTCTCTGCTATCCCTTCTCGTTATTCCTTTTATTTTCCTCTTCTTTTTGCCGATACACCATCTCTAGGGCGACAAAGATCTCCGACGATCTCGAGGCCACATCCGACTTCTCCGATTGATTTCGCCTCACCCATCTGGTGTTTCATCGTTTCCTCTTTCTCCCATATTTAAACACAACACATTTCACTCATTCTACCACAATTCTCATTTTCTCCTCTCTAGATTCTTAAGCAGTAACCAAAACAGAGAACCAAAACAATGGCTTTCTTCTCCGCAGCAACATCTCTTCTCCTCCTAGTCCTCTCTGTTTCCTCTCCTTATGTTCATGGAAACATTATACCAGCCTCCGGGTGTACCCTTGTTGTTCCCCTGTTCCCATGTTTATCATTTATAACGATCGGGAGTACGATGGATACACCCTCAAATTCGTGCTGCTCTAGTCTCAAGAATATCCTCGATACGGAACCGGAATGTCTATGCGAAGGGTTGAAGAACACTGCCTCTTACGGAATCAAACTTAACGTTACTAAGGCTACTACTCTTCCCGATGCTTGTAAAGTTTATGCTCCTCCGGTGGCAGCTTGTGGTGCATGTTAGATTTTTTCTTGATTTTTTATGGATTATGATTTAATTCCTTTTGTAGTTTTATGATTATCTGATTAATAGAGATTTTTGTTTTGTTTTGGTTGCAGTGTCTCCTGCTAGTCCTCCTGCTACTAATGCGCAAGGTATTTGTCTTTCTTTTTATTGATTTCATTCTTTATCACATTCCATCTAAATTATTATTTTTTATGTGTATCGTGTCTTTTTTGCTTGATTAAACTGACCATAAGTGTTTGTTTTGGTTGTGAGACATGTAGGTGAGGTAGCTCTGAAGTTTAAATCGGAGTAGCAACACCAACAACCATTTCCTGCCAACTATAAGGTAATTCCCTACTCAATATAGTTGTGATTAGCTGCTGAAGTATCTAGTTTAGAGTTCTTGTTCTTGTTTTCTGATGATTGAGTAAACTGGAGTATGTATGTTGTATGTCTCTTGTTTTCAGATAGTTGAGTAGTGCTTTGTTAATAAGTGGTGAAACCTATTCCTCTTTGAAGTTAACGAAAGTGTGTGTTACTTGGGAGGATAACATTCAAATTTACTGAACTTTTCCTTTACTTGTTTTACTGGTTATTTGATGATTGAAATGGTGGCTGGTTACTTTGGATGTGATGAATGAGCTTTCTTGGTTGTAAACAGACTAGTAATGTCTGTTTAACTTTCTAGTTGTGGAAAGTTATAATAAATACTGATCTGACCTTGGTAGTTCAAGGTTAGCTCTCATTATGAGTTTGCTACTTTAAAGCTTTTTTGGTTTGAAAGTGTCTTTATACCTGATTTGATTGTGTTAGGTAATGATACTTTAAGACTAATAACTAGTTTAACTTACCTCTATTAAACCAGAGATATGTTAAATTCATTCTCTCCTATTCTCTTTTCTTCTATCATATCTCCTCTTTGAATCTCTCCTTTTACCTAAGCTTTTACTTCTCTTCCTTCTATTAAGCTGTCGGATATGGATTCAAATAACCATCCAAATAACCAGTGTCAATCTCAACCAAACTATAGTCTCCAAAACTTCCCTTACGGCAAATTTTCTTCCAATGCAAACATTTCCTTCTCTCAAATCCCTTCTTTTAGTTCACAACCGAGCTCACCACCAGTTCAAGCTGCAAGTCAACCAGAAAAGACACCAAGGGAGAGAAGGATTTGGACCAGCCAGGATGATCTTGTTCTTATAAGCGGTTGGTTATACACATCAAAGGATGTGATAATTGGGAATGACCAAAGGTCAGGGGCCTTTTGGAAGCGCATAGGAGAGTATTATGCTTCTAGTACTCATGTACTAAATGGGGCTGAGCCAAGGCTCCCTGACCACTGTAGGCAAAGATGGCAAAAAATCCAAAATATGGTGGCCAGGTTCTGTGGATTTTATGCTGAAGCATTTAGTGAGAAAGCTAGTGGCATGAATGATTTGGACATTATCAACAATGCTCACCAACTCTACTATCAGCTGTACAAGAAGAAGTTCAGTTTGGAGTATGCATGGAATGCGCTGCGCTACGAACCAAAATGGTTGAACTTGGAGCCTATGAACCCTACTCCAAAGACAACCAGCTCTAACAAAAGAAAAGCCGATGATGCTCCACCATCTGCTGGATCAAATGTTTTTGAGGAAGAGAGCAGGCCACCAGGAATAAAGGCCATGAAAGCCAAGAGGAACAAAGGGAAAGGCAAGGTTGGACCAGCTTTGGCGACTGATGATAACATCTGGGAGAAGAAAGAGAAGGATATGGCTCAGAGGGAAAAACTCCAAAAGATGTCTGTTTACAAGACTCTCCTTGCAAGGAGTGAATCACTGGATGAAGATGAAAAAGTTCTTAAGAAGAAGCTAATGGCCGAGCTGTTTTAAATTAGGGAAAAACTAAGTTCATTTAACTATGTCTGATATGTCTGATTTAACTATGTTTTTCATTATGCATATGTTTCTGTTAGCTAAGTATGTGTGTTTGTAAATGTTATACTTCTATGTAACCTATCTGAACCTTGTTCAACTTCTATGCTTATATTTATAATGAATCAGTTATGTTAATTGAGGTTTGGTTTCAGGTTCAAGAAGACATGGGACTTGATTCTATGGCTCTGAAGAGGAGGCTGATAGCTGTTACTTTGGAGGCCCATTCACCAGTTTGTGGACCTTTGGTAATGTAACTTTTGGATTGTGAGTCACATGACTTTGTTCCTTTTGGTATCAATCGAGTATGTAAGCTAACTTTTGCAAATTGTAATCGAAAATGTAATGTCAACAGAGTCACATGTCAGGTTTGGATTGTAGGCGAGAGTCACATGTGTTTGGATAGTAGTATTAAAGCGAGAGTCACATGTGTTCGGCTTGTATTATTAAAGCAAGAGTAACAAAATTTCTTAACATATATATGTGATTCCTACCTTCGTTTCTCTCATCAAAATCAAACATCCCATAACTCTCATAAACACTACAAAAATCCCTTTCTCTCCTGTCTTGGAAAAACACTTCTCTTCTCTCCTTCTCTACAATTTTCAACCATATAAACCATTTCAACCATTCCGTTTTTATGGCATCGTCTTCCAACAATTTTGACTTTCATAATTCATCTAGTAGTGATGATGATTTTTTTGACCAATATATCGACGCACAAATTGATAATCTATGTGATGGGATCGAAGAGGTTATTCCGACCGAAAGGAAGAAGCGTACTTATATAGAAAGAAATCGAGAAGAAGGGCACGAACAGTTGTGTAAGGATTACTTCAATGATAATCCGACTTTCACGGAGAACCTATTTCGCAGAAGGTTTCGCATGAACAAGCCATTGTTCCTGCGTATTGTGAATCGTCTCGCAGCAGAAGTGTCATATTTTCAACCAAAAAAAGATGCCACTTTCCGGAATGGTATATCACCGCTACAACAATGTACTGCAGCAATTCGACAATTAGCATATGGGGCTGCGGCCGACTCGGTTGACGAATATGTACGTATTGGTGAAACGACGGCACGTAAATGTTTGGAACATTTCGTCGTTGCAATAGTTGATTTGTTTGGCACTGAATACCTACGTCGACCCACAACAGAGGATCTTGAAAGGCTACTCTTTTATGGAGAAAAGCGGGGTTTTCCTGGGATGGTTGGAAGCATCGACTGCATGCATTGGAAGTGGAAGAATTGCCCAACCGCTTGGAAAGGAATGTATTCACGAGGGACCGAGAAACCAACAATTGTCTTGGAGGCGGTAGCTTCACAAGATCTCTGGATATGGCACGCCTTTTTTGGAGCGCCAGGTACAAGTAACGATTTAAATGTTCTTGCTCAATCCCCAGTATTTAATGACATTATTTACGGTCGAGCTCCCCAAATGAACTACTATGTCAATGGAAGGGAGTATAATTTGTCTTACTATCTGACGGATGGAATTTACCCCGAATGGGCGACATTTGTGAAATCCATCCAACGACCACAACACCCGAAACATCGTTTGTTTGCAGAACATCAAGAAGGTGCACGAAAAGATGTTGAGCGTGCATTTGGAGTCCTGCAATCTAGATTCGCCATGATTAAAAATCCATGTAGGTTTTTGTCGAAAGGTAAAATAGCATATATTATGAGAGCATGTCTCATACTCCATAATATGATTGTCGAAGATGAACGATATTCATACACTCTATATGACAAAGAAGAATTCGAACAAGACGAGATTCATACGTTTTCAGTCGAAATGCCTACAAATCTCGAGGGTCTAGGTGATGGTCACACAAGAATTCGTGATAGACAAGCACATCACCAATTAAAAGAGGATTTGATTGAGAATATATGGACTACATTTGGTAATGAATAATTTTTTTAAACTTTGTATTAATTAAATAAAATGTTTGTAACCTTTAATTAATATGTTTGTTTGTTTTTAATGTTTTTCATTTATATATTTAATGTTTTTTTTGTGTAATAACTAATTCGAATAGTATTTTGTGTTTTATTTTATTTCCATCTCTATTTTAATATAACTTACTTTTTAAAAAAAAAAATTCAATAACATTTAAAGTTTTTGATTATTAAATTATTATTTCTTAAGATCTAAACATGTTCTACCCTTAATCAACTACTCTATAAAAGATCTTAACTAAAGCTCTTATAATATTTTAATAATATTTTCAATCTAAGATCAAACTTCAAAGATCTCACGTTGCATATGCCCTTATGACATCCAGTCCCTATTGTTTTACTTTAGTTATTAAATATCTAAATTAGATATTTAAAAGAAAAATATCCTAACTTTAATTTCTGTAAGTTGTGAAAAGCAATGTTAAGAGGAATATCTTTTCTTGGTAGAGAGAAATAATTCGATTCTTATGATATAAATTACATATATGGTCCTGAATCCTGATATATGCTAAATAATACTCCCTCCGTTTTGTTTTAGTTGTCGTTTTAGGACTTAAATTTTGTTTCGTAATAGTTGTCGTTTTAGGTTTTCAATGCAAATGTTTGGTAAAAATTCCAGTATTATCCCTATTGTTTTAATGTTTTGACCAATAAAAAAATTTATAAGATATATTAATGAAGGGTAAAACAGAAAATTTAATGTTTTTCTTAATTTGTGTGAGAAAACCTTAAACGACAACTAAAACGAAACGGAGGGAGTACTTTTTTTCTAATTAAGTAGTTTATTTTTTAAATGGGAAAATTGTAGGAGGCCTAAAATGTAAAATAATGGAAATGGTAACGTAAAAACCCCTGTTCTAAAAATCGGCCGCCTAGCCGCCTAGGCGCTGATCGGAGGAGCACCGCGGCGATTTTGTCCAAATCGGTGAGAAAAATCGGAGATCCGATTTTTTGCCCGCCTGGACCGCCTAGCCCGCCTAGACAGCGCCTAGCCCAATTTTTTTTTTTTTCATCTAAAATTCAAAACGTCCTACTTATGTTCGTAATTTGTATAAAAATCATAAATTTGAAATTAAAATCTTGTTTTCATGTGTTTAATACAATTTTAAAAACAATATTATATAAATTACTTAATTATAATGGATTAATATGTTTTTAAAATATTAAATAGCCCTAAAACTAATCCCCGATTAATCTCCGTGTAATCCCCGATTTTCTTGCTAGGCGCTAGGCGCACCCTCGCCCGCCCGACTAGCTCCGATTTTTTGAACACGGGTAAAAACTAAAAATCATTTGTTAAACTACACAACGTCATGGCCCGTAAATAATTGGGCCTAAAATAATTTAATTCTCGGCCCATTAAGTTGTAATGGTAACGGAGGCTTTTCAAACGCACAGAATCGGAAGAAATCCCACAGATGAAAATCGATTAATCTTCTCAAGCCGATGAATTCATCATCGTTGACGTATCAGTTATCTTCGCAAATCAAAATCTCTATGGAGGAAACAAAATCCCAAGTATATCGATGGAGGAGAAGCTCAAATCCAAAGACCGTGACGGCTTACGGATCCAGTGTTGATTTTGACTCTGGCGATTGAATTTAAGCGTCTGATGTGTTTGCTAATTGCGCGATTATTGGATTGGATCATTGAGAAAAAAAGTTTCAAAATCAACAAAAATTGTTCTGTCTCATACTGGTGAGATAACATTTGGATTTTGTGAAATTTGGAGTTTGCAATTGGTATTTTGAGGTTCTTAATGCGTTTGTGTGTAATGTAGTTGCGGAGACTCTGGATTCTTTTCTACTTCTTCATCAGCTCGAAACCAAAGTAAGACAATTCAGTGTTCTCTGTTTTTCAGAATTTGGTGATTTGAAGAATTAGAGGGTACAAAGTCGAATTCAATTTCGTGATCTTATAGTTTCAGTGTTCTTTGGTTTTTAAAAACGTTACGCATCTAGAAGCATGACTCTGGTACTGTGTGGAAATCTTCAGAACAAGATACTGAACTTTTTTTTACTTCCTAAAATGTTGTTGCTCATGATATTCTCGACCTGGTTGGCTCTACTGCTTCTAGGTGTGAGCTGAAGTGTCTTTTCTTTTCGAGTACTATATCATTGACGGATTTCTTGCTATCTTTATGGAAATGTGGCCTTGTTCTTGATTGCACTAATGACTCCTAATTGGATATTTTGCTCTTTTGATTTCGAAATCCTTAGGTGTAATGAAGGTCAAAAGCTAACCGGGATGAGATTTTACCTTAGGCCGCTATGTTTGCGGCACAAGACATTGCGGCGATGCAAGGTTAGCTTAGTTCTCTCCCTTTTTGCTGTCTATAGAACATAAAACTGAGTCTCTATAGTTATCATTTCAATTCTGTGTGTGACTTTTTGGTGAAGGTAGTGTAGGCTTAGTTCTGCAATTAGTCCAAACGTGAAATTACTGTTTATTAACAAACTTTAGCCTTTCTTGTTAATCACACATCTCGATGTTGGCTTTCAATACAAATAACTAGTAAATTACACTTTGTTGTGGAGATAATATGTTTCTTGAAATAAATTTCTCGTTAACAAAACCTTAACATTATTGATTAATATATACTAAATAAATAAAAAGTTCTTGCTCCTTTCTTGATCCGCTTCTATGTTTTTAACTGAGAGACCTCCTATATAAACAGATTGATACACCCATTAAACTCTCGTACTTACCTTCTTATACACGTTATCAAAAACCCTAAGAGTTCATAAGTTTCTTTGACATTTGCATTCGAAGACCAAGAACCCTAAGTCTCCGACTCAATCTTCTCTGAAGAATGGCGACGACTGAAGAGAACCTCGAATTGCTGCAAGAGATCGATCATCGTATTGAAGAAATTGTTTTGACCGTGCCTTGCAGTGCGTGGAACGAGAATAGGGTAAACGCCAAATTGGTTGATTCTTTTTGACTTTTCCAATTTTGTTAATGCTTTATCGTTGGTAGAATCATCGATTTCTTTATTCTCTTTTTTGTAGAGTAATGATTGTACCATCGGCGAAAGTCAATATGTGTTTATGTAATTTCTTTTTGTTTAATTTGCTATGGATTATGATGTATAAACCATATGTATCGTGCGAAAATGAATCTTGATTTCTCTTTCAATTATTATGATTTGTTTCTTTTGATTTATTGTTAACGAGGATTTCTATATTATTTATTGTTAACTATTTTTGCTGAATTTAACGTTTTGTCATGCTGCGACTCTTATTGTTCTTCTGCGTCCACGATTAAGAATTCTTTTTTTATTGGTTTTGCTTATTCATTTCTTTAGTATCGTCATATGATTTTATTTATTGTTTATGCTATATCTGTAAAGTCAATGTTCTTCATTCTCTGAGTTTTATGTTACTATTTGTTAGGTTTAATGTAACGAATCATTCATTACGCACGTGAATCTTATTTTGTTTAACAATTTGAAGATTGTTTTTCCTAAAAAAATGTGATCTTTCTACTCTCCCCGATTGCAAGAAATTAATATCCTTTTGTTTTCTTTATGATCATTGTTTTTGAAATTTAACGATTCTTTTTATTCTGTACAATCAACTAAGTGGTCATTTTTTGGGTTGCTGCAGTCCTCTCAGATTCTCGATGCCTTACTATTTATTGTCAAGAGAACATTTGAGCCGAGGATTCAGATAATTCTCAAGCCAGCCTGGCCAGGTTAGTTTTTTATTTTATTTTAATTTATATAACAGCCAAATTAGTATTCTTTTGAAAATATCTATAATTTTTAACTTCGTTGATAGACTTGTTATTTTTTCAAACAAAATGAAATTTGTAAATATTACAATGCTATAAATTTGGTAACTCTCAATTATCTATGATCGGATGTTACTCTTCTCACTGATTCATTTATGAAACGCTAAGATCTGTCTCATGTTTGCCTCCTCTATAAATATATCTATTTTAAATCTCTTAGTACTAATCGTTTATCTAAATTTTAAATTCTCAATTTTCTCTTAAAAGTATTCGTGTAGATTAGTAATTTAGAGTGTTTTAATCTTTGAAAATGGGCTATCTGAATTTTGTTTTTAAATGCCTTTTGTTTTTTTTTTTCAGTGGAGAATTTTGACTTTTGCCGATTCCATTGGGCCTCTGATCGTTTTGAAGAATTACTGGAACCTGCAGAAGAAGAACCGAGATTTTTGCTTCCAAGGCAGAGGAAAGGCTTTGTAGTTTTCTTCAACAATCTTGAAGACTCTACACGTGCACGAAATTGTATAAAAAGGTACTGAAAGGTGATATATAGATATAGCTTATAGTGTAAATGGTCTGATATAATTTTTTTTTGCAAATAGGCTAGTGGATCCTGCACCAACAGGAGTTATTGAAGAGCAAAGAGCAGCAATAGGTGAGTACGTAGAGAGACGCGGACCCATGCAAGAAGATGAGCAAAGAGGCCGTGTAGTTGCTGGTAGAAATCCTCCTAGCGTCAACGATGGTATCCCGACAGATAGACTCGGACCCAGTGGAGTTGCTAGTGGAACTCTTAATCCAAGCGCTCACACTATTAGTTTCTTGCATGACGAAGAGCAGGGAGGCAGTGGACCTTCTAATGGTACCTTTGATCAGCATGTTTACCTCCAGAATTCAAGAGTTATAATGGCGATGATTGCGGTTCTGCTTGCTACCATCGTGCTAACTGTTGGACTCAACCCGCCATCAACCATCGATACGATTTCCGTCAAAATCATCTTTCAGATTACCTTTTGGATTGCGGCGGTATTCTCCTTGGCAGCCTTATTTATTCTAGGTATGGTCACGCCTACGTCGTTTGACATGCAAGTACACAGATTCCGATGTGCCTTCGTATCAATATCAGTTGGTCTGATATGCGTCGTGGTGGCATTTGTCGCAAGCACGGTATCCATGACATCAAATCTGTTCGCTAGGATAGTGGGGGGCCTCATTGGTGCGATTGGGATCGTCGTTTTCTCTTACTTCACCTCGATAACAGTTCGAGACTTCATCTACACAAAAACAGGATTTCGTTTGACGCAACATGCAGATAATAAACCTTATGCGCTCACCTGTTTTTCGGTTTAGGTTTACACCAAATTAATATACAACAGAATAAACTTTGTGGTTTGGTGTTTGACATGAGATATTTTGTATAAAGACATAGATTTATTAGTATTTTTGGTTCTTGCGGAAAATCAAAAAGCAAAAAACAAAACCAAAAACAGATCTATAAAGAATTTAAGATGAAAGTGAGTAAGTGACCATAGCCTAAAAAAACCATGACATATAATTTCAAGGGAAAAGCAACGCCCTCACATCTCTTGAATCCTCATCTTCCTCATCGAAGAAATTCTTGTGCACCTCTTTAAGTAATTCAAGAGCATTCTCCAACCCACCATCCTCTGCGTCCTCATCTCTTCTCTCTTCTGCGTATGACTTTGGGTCACTTTCGTCGTCTATGGACAACGTTTTCTTAAAAAAGTTCACAAGTTTAGTGATCCAAGTATTGTTGTTGTTGCGCTTGAAAAAGTGGTACGGTGCGATCTGCAGTAGGTTTGTTGTGTCATCGGGCCACCAATACACGTGCTTGTCGTCTAGGATGACAATCCCACGCTCGTCAGCCAAAACAAGATCTAGATTCTTCATCTCGCTGTCTCTATTTGTGATGATGCGTTTTTCAAAGTAAGTTCCGTGAGGATCAAGAAACGATATAACTTCTTCCCCTTGTTCAGGGCTGCAAAGCTCGAACACAGTCATCTGGAACAGCTTGTTCGCTTCACGAAGGAATTCGTGAACGAACGGTCGTAGCTTAAACAAAACCTCGCCTTGATTAGGGAAGAATTTTTTTGATCGCCGCAGATCAAACCTTGACTTGACTTCTCCTGTTAAATAATTCTCTCCGTCTGAGAGTTGTGAAACTAGGCGGGAGTCGTAGAGCGTGCCGTGTAGACCAAGGACTAAAGTAAGCCTCTTTTCCTTCAGCGACTTCATCCAAACATGGCGTTTCGTAGTCCCCACAAATTCGGGACGAAACTGTAGACCGTTGCCAAGGTAACTGAAAGGTATGAGAGCATAGTGACGAGCGTCCACAGCCGATTTGCATTGGCTACAGAATCCATGTCGAACAATATCATGAATACAAGCCATTGTTAAATTGAAAGGAGCCCTAGTTTTTTTAACAATTAGCAGGCACATAAAAGCCGTCACCGAATCGGATAAGTTATATGTATTTTGTTTTTGTTTTTTATACTTTTACTTTAAGCAAAATACACATATATATATATATATATATATATCATAACTACTTTATATTTTCTCCCCTAAACTCACGGGGATCGGAGATAGAACTATATATGCTCTCTCGAATATATCTTCTTTTTCTGACTAATCTCTTAGTCATTGAAATCTAAAAAGTAAGATCTTCTATGAAATTAGGAACAGCATTGTATAATTTTAGTTTTTCATTTCCTTTTTCATATGTACATCTTTTCGCTTTTAGAATAAAAGCATATGTATTACGTAGAGATCACTTCTAAGTTCTTTCAACTATAATCAATGGTTTCGATTTAAAACCAACAACCTCGAACAACATTTAAGAGCATCTATACTGGGAATCTCTCGCCAAATCTTTCAACAATATTACAAATTAAAAAAAGAGGAGAGAGAGAGAAGAGATCGATTTTTATTTGAGAGCATCAACAATGGTGGGTTCTAACACCACCTCTCACGTTTCTCTTTCTCTTTAGAGAAACCCATCACAAACGTTTCTCACAAGTGTCATTCAAATATTAGTTTATTTAAAATACTTTCACACTTGTATTTGTGTTTACACTTGAGTTTAGATACGGAAGTTGTGATGATATGAAAATCTCGATAAAACTCATTTCACACATGTCAAAATCTGATTGGTTTTTAATTGTTATTTTAAATTAAAAATTATAAAGAAAAAACAAAACCAATGCTGATGCTCTAATGAGAGATGTTAATAAGGAAACAACACGAAAATTATATCATGTAAAGGAAAATGTAAATCCATTGGACTGGTAATCATTCAAATTCCTGGGCGTGAAGAAGCGGGGCAGGAGAGGATTCACCTCCTGATATCCTCCATTAAAGAATAACTCATGAAGCTCCTTGAGGGATCTCAATAGGACTTTCAACAACAATTCATCATCATCATCAGGACTTTCTCCCTCGCTCTTTCCCTCCAAGTCAACAACTTTATAATCTCCTGTCAAAGATATCTTCTTGAGCAAGTTAAGAGTTTTTGCTAGGACCCCATCCTCGTTGCTGATTTCTTTGAAATACACGTACTTCGACATGAAAATCACGTTGTGGCCTGGGCTCTTCCACAATCTATGATCATAGTCTACGATAAGCACCCCACGTGGTTCCGCCAAAACAAGTTCCAATGACTTCAAATCACCATTGCTATCTTTACTCGTAATAATGCGATTCCCAAAGTATATCATATGCGGATCGAGCAACTTCACCACCTTCTTTGCAAGGCCAGGACCATAGTTTGTGTACACATGCATGGTGAAAATCTTCTCTGCTTCCCGCAAAAATTCACGTACAAAAGGTCGAAACTTCACTAACGCATCGCTTGAATAGAAACTCTCATTAGCTAAACGAAACAGATCATCTCTTGATCCCGAATCAGCCTCTTCGAGCAGATGATACCTGTCGATCTCGGAGAGCTTTGACACACTGATAAGGTCGATGAGGGTGTGTTCTAAGCTAAGAACCAAGTGAAGCTTCCTCTTTCCCAACGCTATCCCCAACTTCTGTTTCTTAGTGGTCGCCTCGAACTCGGGACTCATCGATAAAGACTTTGCGATGTAATTGAAAGCTCGAGCAAAATACCAAGTATCCAGATAATATCCACATCGGCAACATCGACGGTTTTGATACAGCCGATGACGACAATTAGGGTTAAGAGAGGTTTCCTTTGCGACCTTCGTATTGGCGTCATACGTTTTCACTGGGGATTTGCATCGACAGCAGATTTGACGGTGAACAATCCAGTGCTTGCATGGAGCCGTCATTCTCAATTTCCTTCACCAAAGCTTTTTCCTTTGACACTATCTATTAGATTAGTAAACACTCCCTAATATATTCCCATCCAACCAAATCTGTTACGTCAATTAGTTACTCCCGAAAAAAGCGATTTACTTCAGAAGATATAGGATTTTGTAGATTCTTGATAAAATCAAGTATTTGATGCGTTTTATATATTTTTGAATAATTGAGTAATATTTTTATGGGAAGCGAGTAATCTTTTTCAATACGGTCATTAATTAATTTTTTTGTTTCTTAATTTTTTATGAGAAACGAGCCACACGTGTGGTGTGATGAAGACTTTAATTTCCTCTTTAACTCTTTTGTTGGTTTCAAACTTAACAAAACCTAATCCCATAATTAAGATAAGGAACAGAGTTGCATCAGAGAGAAAAAAAAAAAAAAAAGAACAGAACAAAACCTAATCCATATGTTACAAATTTACAACAAGGTGTCAAGGTTTCCGTTCGGTTTATAATTTGGTTAAATCACGGTTAATACTCATAATTAAAAAACCAAACCTTGGTGTTCAAAAAAAAAAAAAAAAAAAAAAAAAAAAAACCAAACCTGATGGAAACTAGTTAACCCATCCTTGATTGACACCGTATCTTTGACCGGGTCAATACCCGGTTAATCGGAGAACTAAACCTATCTCAGCGGTACAAACGCTCCTCACCTACCGTCCTAGAGAGATCATCACGAATCGGAGAAGGAGACGGCGTGTAAAACGGCGGCGAAGCACATGGAGTAGAAAACGGCGTCGTTCCGTCGTGATTGTAATCACTAAAGTCAACCTCGTCGTCGCTTATATCCGTCGCGACAATCTCCTCTTTCACTTCATCATCCTTTACATTATCCTCAGTAGAGATGCTTCCACGTGGATCAATCTCACCCGTCCGATGATCAGACTCACTAGTATAGTCTTCAGCGATGGTAAACAAAGTCTCCGAAGGTCCGCAAAGTAAATTTTCTCCGTTTATTGACCACTTTGACGCCACGTCACTAACCGGAGGAGCAGCTGCAGGGAGAGGCGGAGCTGTGGCGGATCCTATTCGGAATTGTTTGTTTTCGAGACAGAACAAGAAGAAGTAAAGAAGCTCTTTCGACGGCGGTGGTGTAGCCGTCGGGTCACCGCCGCGGGAGGAGAAAGCGTCGAGTTCTGAGCCGGCGATACTCCGACGACGAAACCTACGTTTCCACCACAAAACGTAGGCGAGCTGTGCCGTTACAGCTACGAGACAAAACGCGAAAACCGCGACGAGTACGATTGCGGTTTGGCTAAGACCCATTTAGTAGACAGAGTTTGAGAGAGATTAACCTTAAAACTGCGTCGTTTCGTTTGTCATAATTATGGATTTGTTGTTTTAGATCAGAACAGAAGCTGGAGTGGGGTAGTTTCGTAAATTGTTACTAATTATTGGGTAGTTGAAGTGTCATAATCGGAAAAAGAGTTGCTGAGTAGGTTCCGGTTAGAAGATCATTAATAGTCAAATCTGGATTGAAAGTGAAGGTACACGACTTACTATTTGGAGTTCTAAAGTTCTTTAGTTTAGTTCACCAAAAGAAAGATCTTTAGTTTTTATTAGCGAACTTGAAAAAATGATGTTGCACTCGTGAACAAACGAAGAACACCACGTTCAACAGACAACAGGCAATAGTTATTTGACTTTGTACCAATCATTAATTTGGGCCATTCGATTAACTAACGGTGTTAATCGGCCCATTTTAGTCTACCATTCAGGGTTTGATTTTTCATATCGATGTCATAAGATTCTATTTCTTTCGCCTCAAAGATGCATCACACCATCATCTAGATCTTAATCAATTATCATTTATGTGGTACAAATTGGAATTGTAAATTGCATATGCATATATACTCATAACCTTTGAGTGACACGGATCTATTCTTAAAGATTTATGCAAGTAAGCTCATAGAAGGTTGTATATTTGAGATATCAGGCCCATGACTCCTTCTCTAAATATACGGATTTGGGCTATGAAGCTCTCAAATCCTTTTTCGCCTACACCTCTCAGTTTGATAAAACTGAACCTATAGTTGGATTCATGTGTTGCTTACATTCTAATAAATAACCCGTATTCTCTCTTGTTTTATTTAATGAATAACCAAAAAGGTTTACAAGAGAAGAAAAAGTTAGTGTGTTTTATTGCTTTATTAAAGATAAAAAGCGAATTATGTTGAGATCAAAGTTTAGGTCTATAATGACTAAATGCCCATCACAAGACTCTTAAAAGCTTAAAAACCCTCCAAAAGCAGAGAGATAGAATTTAGCTTTTTTACTCTCTCTTTTTCTCTTCTGCTTTAAAAGGGTCACCCACTTTCTGCAATTCTTGTAAATAAATTAATTATTTACTTTTCCAAAATCATGCTTAACTTTATCTTCCTTCCTGCTTTTGAGGATAAACTTTAGATTCCATGCATGAATTAATGGACATCTATACGCATTCATATTATATGCATTCATCTAATTTGCAAATATATTAATGTGGATATCGTTGTGTTTACACATGGGCGTTTTCTTTCAAGTGGTATGATTCACATAATCATTTTTAACAAAAGAAAATAATTCACATAATCATAAAATGTTACTCCATCCGTTTCGTTTTAGTTGTCCTTTAAGGTTTTTTCACATAAATTAAGAAAAATATTTAATTTTCTATTTTACTTTTTATTAATATATTTTATAAAAAATTTCATTGGCCAAAACATTAAAACTGTAGGGATAAAACTGGAATTTTCACCAAACATTTGCATTGAAAATCTAAAACGACAACTATTATGAAACAAAATTTAAATCCTAAAACGACAACTAAACTGAAACGAAGGGAGTATCATTTAGAAATTGACCATTTGTATATCAGCTTTTAATCTTAAGAATTAGTCATAGATGATCATGAAGTGAGTTAAGTATATAGAAAAGCTTTTGCTGCATGCATGATATATATGAGAAATGCTTTTCTTAACGTCTACATGTATTCGTTTACAAAAAAAAAAAAAAAAAAAAAAAAACGTCTACATGTATTAATTAATATTAACAATTCTTTTTTGCCACAAGTCACATATATATATATATATGAATATTTTTCAAAGTAACCACTATTTTTCCACCCTATACAAAAATATCCAAGCGGAAAAAGCTTCATCTTATTTGACACCAAAGCAAAGCACCACATTGTGAAAGAAGAATCATTTACAAAAGTGATCCATACATATCCCCAATCCAGGGAATGTATATACATCAATCAATGATAGCTAAAACTTGTGAGATTTACATGAAAACTAAACTCGGAAAGGCAAACGACAATTGGAGAAAAGCAGTGTAAGATTCTAAGACCATCTCTAACAGTGAAACACTCTTTGAGTTTCTCGAACAAAAAAAAATATTAATATTTTGATCAATTTCAGTTATATAATTATTTTTTAATCATAAATATAAAATTGAACCAATAGATGAAAAATAAGTGGCCTATTGGGTTTCTCAGAGTTTCTCAAATGAGGCACTCTCTCTATTCTCTTTTTAACTTTTTAATTTTTTTATATTTTCCTAAGAGAGAGTGTCTCATTCAGACACTCTAAGGTGGTGGCTTCTTCCTTCTCTCGGGAGAAAAGAAAAGAAAAGATGAAATGAAACAGAGAGGCAATAAAGTTTGTGGAGATCTTTAATATCAATCAAGCTGTCTTGGATTCTAAAGGAAACAATGACCAATTTTGTATGCTTTATCTTTAGACAGATTAAGAGTTAACAATGGTTTGTCTAGTCTATATTTCGTCGGTTTCATATTAGATTATGTTTTGGTTAAATTACTTAATGCGTAGTATTTTTTTTGCTAAAGATTAATAAAAGAAAAACTACCAAATCTACCACATTTCCTCCAATTCTTTCCAAATCTACCACATTTTTAATTTCCTTTCCAATCCTACCACATTTGATATGAGAAGTTATTGTTTTGCCTTCCCTTTCTCTCTTTCTCTTTATGTTTATTTTTTAAATATTTTTCTTTTCTTTCTTTCTCTCACTCTTTTTCTCTCTCACATTATTTTTCTTTCTCTCACACATAGATATATATGTATATATCTATTATATCTATGAAGTTTTATTCTTCTTTTTCTTCTCACATGATTTTTTCTCTCTTACAAATCTAAATCTGGATTTGAAAATAGTTTATCAATTATATAGTTTTGGTCCACGACATTAAATCGGCTCACATTTAGATCTGGGTTTCTTTTCATATGAACTTGTCCCCGATCTAATTCTATTACTCATTTGATCTGAATTTGTCCTCGATCTAATCATGGTACTCATTCGATATGAACTTGTCCCCAATCTAATTATATTACTCATTTCATATGAACTTGTCCCCGATATAATTATATTACTCATTCGATCTGAACTTGTCCATGATCTACTTTTATTACTCATTCGATATGAACTTGTCCTTAATCTAATTCTATTACTTATTCGATATGGACTTATCCCCGATCTAATTCTATTACTCATTCGATTTGAACTTGTCCCCGATCTAATTATATTACTCATTCCATATGAACTTGTCCCCGATATAATTATATTACTCATTAGATCTGAACTTCTCTCCGATCTAATTATATTACTCATTCCGTATGAACTTGTCCCCGATATAATTATATTACTCATTCGATCTAAACTTGTCCCCGATCTAATTATATTATTCATTCCATATGAACTTGTCCCCGATTTTAATTTAATATTATCTAATATATTAAGAGAACAATTGTAAACGTGCAGCATTAAATGCAGATTGCTCTCTCTTGTCCCAAGTTGTCCCTTTCTCTGACACACATTTCTCTCTCCATCAAGGGCAATTTCGTCCGGCTTTAGGCATGTGGCAACAAAATGTGGTACATTTGGAAAGCTTTTCCCAAATGTGGTAGATTTGGAATGCCACATTTCAAAATGTGGTAGATTTGGAAAGATTCCCATTAATAAATGCGTAGTTATGAAAACAAGATATAAAATAATCGAAAATCTCTACTATATAATTAGTCACAACAACAATGGATAGTTTTTTTTTTAATGCTATATAGCTAAATCCTCCCTCCATTTCACAAAAAAGTGTCGTTTTGACACATTTCACACAAATTAAGAAAACATTGAATTATACATATATGCCCCTATTAAATAAGTGATTAATAATTTAAATTTAATGAGAAGTAGTTTTAAGTTAAGGGTAAATCAGTAAATTTTGTGTAAAAGTCACATTGAAAATGTAGAATGACACTCTTTGTCAAACAAAAATCAAACTCTAGAATGACAGTCTTTGTGAAACATAGGGAGTATATAGTTCACAAGTTTAAGGAAAGATTTTTTTTTTTAATTATTAGAAATGTAATCGAGTATTATTAGATAAATAATACTCTTTCTGTTTCACAAAAAGTGTCATTCTACCATTTTCACACAAATTAAGAAAACTAAACAAATTTTATTTCTACCCCTTATAATACACTAGATAATACCCTTTCTATAATTAATAAACTGAAATAGTAGGAATAAAAAGAAAATTAGTCATTGGAAATATAAAACGATATTCTTTGTAAAACAAAATTAAAACTTTAAAACGACACTTTTTGTGAAACGGAGGGAGTATAGTGTTACACCGCATATTTTTTCTTGTAGCGTAAGCGTTCTTTCTTCTAACTTAAGTTTTTTTTTTTTTTAAACAGTCTTCTAACTTAAGTTTAGTTTGTCTTTTTTTTTTTTGTTAGATAAGCAAACCTGACTTTTCTAAATCCGACCTTTGGGTTATTTTAAGCATATAGTATTATTTTCATAATTTCATTTTTATTTTGGGATATTCTTTGTTTGTTTATTTTTGGTGTATAGAAAGAAGTTTAAACCTGTGAAATGTGAATGTGAATATAGTCTACGAAAAGGGTAAGTCACCTAATATGAAACTATTTTCAAATAAAAAATAAACAACTAATTAAGTGGTGTATCAACAAATTCCTTTATAATTCTTTTGTAAATTCCGTTAGTTCAATCCAAATTATGTGTGTCAGGATTTTTTTCAGCTTTTTTCCATCTCGTTTCCATGAACATAAATTACCATTTACGACCATAATATGATAATTTTACTACATTTAAGACAAAAAAAATATATAAAAAGGGGTTTTCGGGATTTTTTTGAGGCCCCCCCCCCCCCCCCCCCCCCCCATATCCTTCTAAAAAGTTCCTAAGACAAATTTAAAAAAAAAAAAAAAAATCTACAACTACACGTTTAACCAAAGTATTGCCCCAACCCAATGAAAGATAAGTCCGTAAGGGAAACAAATGACGCTTGACCATAAACCATGTAATGCATACTGCATGCGAATGATCATGTTCATGCTCATAAAGTGACCATGTTACATACATATGTGCATGAAGTTATGTTGATGAACACTTGAAATGAAACCCTGCATCCACCGCTTCGAGTAAGCCAATCTCATCACATGATTCTTCTTCACAAATGTCATCGTCAATAGATAGGTTAAGATCGAGTGCAACACAAGTAGCAACGTTCTTGTCCTCAGATTTATCTGAACCGTCAGATTTCTGATTAACTGGAGGAGAACAAGCTCTTGATCTTGAACTGAATCTTTCACAGCTCAAGATCACAATCGCGTCTCTAAGGGAAGCTTCTTCACCACTCGAATTACAAACTCTTCCTCTCTCGATAGCTCTCTTGAAACCCACTTGAGACAAATAATCAGCTTGCTCTATATCTTCCACTAAGAACACTCTATTTGGATCCAACGAAACAGCTTCAGAGAATCTCTCTATGTAACTCCAGCTTTGTTCATCTCTCGACCTCTTGTTCCTCAAATCTTCTGCGGAATCCGATCTTGTCGAAGAGAAACTGCTCAAACATATCGAGACAAAGCTGTCGTGAGATCCAAACACGAGTTTAGCCAATTCTCTAGCCATCTTCTCCTTAGCCTCTACATCAAGACCTTGGAAGAACATCCATGTATCTTCTTTTTTATCA